AGCCACTAGGAGGGGCAGTTATGGGTGTCCAGGAGGAGCCTTGCCTTTAACTGGCTAAGATGGACCCAGCATCTGTGTTGTCCTGCCAGGAACAGAAGTGCCCATGTCAGACCGGCCTGGGCTTGAGCCTGGGCCCTTCCCCTCTCAAACTCCACTGGACGAGCCTTGGCCTCGTCGAATGCCCAGCATAGCCCTGCTGAGGAGGGTCGCCCTTCCCTGCCAGCTCCATTACAGTCTGGGGCGTCCCCTGAGGCCGGCCGGAGGAGGGGAGGCTGGACAGGACTCCTGGAAGCGGGGGTGGGGGGGGCAGCACAGGTCCCTTCCCCCTTGCTGGTCACACCCCAGACCCCTCTCTGCCTCCTGGCCACTCGCGCTCCTGCCCAGCAGCGCCCCCTCCAGCGGGAGGGACTGGACACGCCTCACACCAACCCAGAAAGCAAATGTCTTGCCCGGACAAGCCCAGGGGCCTCTGCGGGTCTCCTCATCTGGGTGGGTCTGGGGAGGTCAGGGTGCTGCTAGACATGGGCAGAGGTCCACCCCCACCAGTAACTAGGGATAGGGACCCTGAGACTGGTGTGTGGAGGGACACAGGGCTCACCCACTCCCCCACTCCCCGGAGCCCGCCCCACCTCACCCACCTGCTCGGCCGCCCTTGGTTCCTTCAGTCTCAGTCACTGCCCCATCACTTGACCTCAGGGCACATTCCAGAATGAGGCCATGGCCAAGAATAGAACCCAGGAAGCCTGCCACCCTCCTACCTATATTAATTGCACATTCCCAGCGCAGGAGGGGGCTTGAGACAGGGGCAGGGCGTGGGAAGCAGGGGGGGCAGCGGCGGGAGGAAGTGGGGTGGGGGAAGGAGGGGACCCCTTCGTAACCTCTTGGGGCCTCATCCTTGCCGGCACCAGGAGACTCACGTCCACCCAACACCCGCCTCCTGACCTCTGCAGGCTGGGCGCCCCCCACCTGATGTTGGACCCCCCACACACACACAAGTAGTGGGGGCAGGCCACACCCAGAGAGGGGTCAGGGTCCCCCAAGCAAAGTTTGGACCTGAGGGATGAGCAGGCAGAGGCTGAGGCCTCACTCAGGAATCTAGGCCATGGCTGTGGGTGAGAGAGAGAGAAGCGGCCAGCACGGGCAGGCCCGGGCAGCACCGTGGGCCCGCCGAGGCCAAGGGTCCTGGTGGGATTCCATCAGGTGCTGCCCGGTCTGGAGCTGTGTGTCACTGTATGTATGTGTGAGCATTTGTGTGAGCGTGTGTGTGTGTGTGTGTGTGTGTGCCTGGCTATGAGTATGTGTGCTCTGTGTGTGTGTATGTGTGTGTGTGAGCCTGGCTATGAGCATGTGTGCTCAGTGTGTGTGTGTGTGTGTGTGTGTGTGTGTGTGTGTGTGCGTGCCTGGCTATGAGTATGTGTGCTCTGTGTGTGTGTGTGTATATGTGTGTGTGAGCCTGGCTATGAGCATGTGTGCTCAGTGTGTGTGTGTGTGTGTGTGTGTGTGTGTGTGTGTGTGTGTGTGTGAGCCTGGATATGACCAGGTGTGCTCTGTGTGTGTGTGTGTGTGTGTGTGTGTGTGTGAAAGAGAGAGAGAGAGAGGGGGAGAGAGAGAGGGAGAGAGAGAGAGAGAGAATGAGCTCGGGGGAAACCAGGTCACCCCAGTTTTAGGAGCTGTGCAGGGGCTCCAGGAAATAGCTCGATGAACTGAGTGCATGTTTGTGGCAGAGGACCCAGGCAGCTCCTGTCCTGGCCCCAGTTCCTGTGCTTCCTGATCCCTCCATGGTTGTCAGGGCTCACCCCCAAGCACAGAGCGGGGGAGCAGCCCACACAGGGCGTGGCCCCAAGACAAACACAAAAACACAAAGAGCCTGAAACCTGGTTTCCTTCTCAGGCCGCCCCCGCTGACTGGGTGCTGGGGCCAGTCTGGGTCTCCCAGGGCCAGTGAGTGAGAAGGCGATGGAGGCAGTGCCTGGCACTCGGTGGGCACTCACTCACGGCGCATGTCTCGGGCCTTCTCCCGGGCACAGGGAGCCCCACCAGCCCACGTGGCTCCGTATTTATTTACACCCCCCTCCCCGCCCCCGCTCCCACAGCCCTCTGGTCCCACTGTTGGAGCTGACATCAGACTCCGAGCAGCTGCGCAGACAATGGGGCCGAGTGTCCTCGGAGCCCAAGGTGCTGGGGTAGGCAAGAGTGGAAAAAGCCAGAGGCCTTGGGGTGCTGGTCCCGAGCAGCCTGACCAGGCCTGTGAAGAGGCTAAGGGTGGTGAGACTGGGGGTTCAGGGGGACAAGGACAAGACAGGAAGAAGTGAATGGCCGGGGTGTAGATGGGAGAGAGGCAGGTCTGGTCAGTCTCTCTGTGTCTTAGGGCCCAAAAGGTTAGGTGGGGTGGCCACCCCCAACCCCGAGACCTTCTTTGCATCCTTTCTGAGGACCTGCCGGGGCTGCAGAGTTTAGGCAAGCAAGGACCAAGTGCATGGACCAAAACCATGGCAGATTCAAGACACCCCATTACGGAAGTGGGGGTCATAGAGATACAGCAAGTAGGGCATCTGCCGCCACCCCGGATTTGATCCTGGATGTCTCATCCAGTCCCCCGAGCACCGCCAGGCGTGATTCCTGAATGCAGAGCCAGGAGTAAGCCCTGAGTAACGCCGGCTGTGGTGGCCCAGATACAAAAACAGAGCAAAACAATTCTAAGTGCACCCCAAGTCAACTTGTATGGGACAATCAGTTAGGAGAGCGTGTCTGGGAAACAGACACTTGGTTAGGGGAGCCCCCAGCTCAGGGCTGGCCTCTAGACCCCAGGGCCTGCACTCCGCTGGCCTCAGGGCTGCCCTGCCTGCTCTCAGCCCAGGCCTGAGTACCTTCTCCAAGAAGCTTCCAGAAGCCAGAAGGCTCCCAGAGAGAAGACAGGGCCCAGACTCAACCACAGCCACAGGGCTGGAAGGACAGTGGCAGTGACGGCTAAGCTGGGCGTGGGCTGTGAGACCCGACAAGGGGCTCCCACAAGGGAGCAGAGCGGACCTGGGCCCTGCTGTCCGGCCGCAGAGCTGGAGTGTGGACACAGGTGCAACAGAATGTGGCCAAGCTCGGACAGACAGGCCAGCAGGGGCAGCGCTCACCTCCTCACCCCTCCTCTCTTGGCTGGTGCTGTTGGTCTTCACATTCCGGATCCCGCCCTCCCCCAGGGCTATCAGAGGAGGTTTGGGCCGGGCTGTGCAGGGGAGGGGGGAACTGTGTGGAGCCCAGACATCACTCAGGGGAGGGGAGTGGCCACAGGAGACCACCCGAGGCTGGAGTGATAGCACAGCAGGGAGGGTGCTTGCCTGCCTTGCATGCAGCCCACTTGGGTTTGATCCCCAGCAACCCATAGGGTTCCCCAAGCCCTGCCAGGAATAGTGACCCCTGAGTTCAGAGCCAGGAGTAAGACCCAAGGGCCTCTGGGTGTGCCCCCCCCCCAATAAATAAGGGGCTATGTCCATCCAGGGAATCAAGACAAGTGCACTGGGCATTTGGGTTCTGGGGTCTCCAGTGCCCACCTCCTGCCCTCTCCTCCCCCTCCTCCACCTTGGCACAGCAGAACTCAGACTCACCCATGGTGGCATCTGGGTGAGGTGCCTGTCTGCCCGCAGACTGGGAGGGAGTGAGGTGAGGGGGACCATTGAGCCACCCAACATCTCAAGGAACTGGATGAGACCCCCAACTCTAAGCAGAGTCCTGGGGAGGCTGTGTTTGGGCTCCATCCCCCCAACATGCCCCTGCGACCAGATCTCCCCCCACCCGAAGGACACCCCTCCCCCTTGCACCCCCTTCCCAGCTTAAAGAAGCCCACAGGCAGAACGCTGATCCTGGGAACTTTTAATTGGCGTTTTCCTCTCTATGTGTGAGGAAGAAACCAAGAGGCCATCCTTCTCTTGGGACAGACACAATGAAGGGCTGAGGAGGGGAGGGAAGGCAGGTGTAGAGATGAAACCGGGTTTCCCACATCCTTTGTCCAGGGCTGGGGAGGCTGGACCCGCCAAGGAGATCTGGGGACCAAGTGAGTCTCCAGCTCAGGACCAGAGCCGCCCAGCCGCTGCCTGCAACCCCCAGGGTGACCGGCAGGTGGGAGCACCGAGCAGCGTTCCTGCCCCGACGGGCGGGCTTCCCCTCCTCCGTTCTCACTCCACCACCCGCTCCGGGGCCTGCTTTTCCACTTCCTTTCTCTTCCCACCCCAATAGATGCTGCTTTTGTCCTAGGATGCCCGTGGCACATGAAGGCGCACTGTCGCTCCAAAGGGACCGCTGGACAGCTGCGCAGGCCAAAGGTGCGGGGATGACTGGCATCTCCCAGGGGTCCGAGCGCCTGGCACCCAGGGGAACGTTTCCCTGGGTCCGTTCACTAGTCTGAACTCCACAAACCAGCCATCAGCAGAGCCAAGGAGAAAGGTCACGCCTCCTAGGGTGCCCAGAGTGAGGGTCGGGTGAGGGGGTTGTCAGTGATCGCACAGCCAGCTGGGGCGGGCACAGGCTGAGTACCCGGCAAACAGCTGGGGGCCTGCTCCCTGCCTCCCCTCTCCCCTGCCCTCACCTGAGCACTCTCTGCTGTGAGGATGCAGGGGCTCTGGTCCCTCCCTTCATCTTGCAAAGTGATTTATTCCTGTTTGTGAGAGCTGGTCTCCCTCCCACCCCCCCCCACCACACACACACACACACACACACACACACACACACACACACACACAGAACCACCATCTCTACCTACCTGGGGAGGGGGCAACCCCACGGGGGACAACAATGAACAATGCCTGACTGCGCTTGGATCACAGGGGCTAAGGTGAGACATCGATGGACTTCCCTGGGGGTCCCTCTCGACTCAAACAACATGGACGCCTTATTCCCCCCAGAGGCTGATGGCACTAACCCAGCAGGCCTGACTCTGCCCTGGAGGGCCTTGTCCAGCTTGCTGACTGAGGGGTCACTCAGGGTGGGAGAGGAGAGGAGGGGAGAGGGGTGGGCTGTGGGAGGCAAGGGTGGGGTGGGGCGGGGGAGGGGGGCTCAGTGCAAGCCCAGGAACTCCTTGAGGAGGTCGCAGGTCTTCTTGTGCAGGACCTCCCGCAGCTTCCTGACCCGCCGGGGGCTGGACAGCCCCACAAAGCTGTCGGGCTTCAGCATGGCCATGCCGCCGTCCACCTCGCCCATGATGATGAGCGGGGTCCCGCCCACCGTCACGTTGGGACAGGGGCAGGCCCAGTCCACGTGGAGCAGCGTCACCTCCAGGGGCTCCTGGCCCAGGAACTTGAGGCCCATCTTCTCATCCTTGAGGACCTCGTCCACCGTCACCAGGGCGCGCCCGGCGTCGGGCTCCTCGGTGAGCTCGGAGACGCGGCCCAGGATGACGAAGTCGCTGCGGCAGAAGCTCGTCACCAGCTTCTGCCGGGGCTTGCAGGCCCGGCAGCGCGGGCTGGCCCGGGGGAAGGGGCAGGACTCCTCGCAGGCCTCGCGGCTCTCGAAGTTGTTGCCGTTGCCCTCGCAGCCTCCGTACACGAAGGACTGGCACTGGCCGGTCTGGCCGTTGTAGGCCCAGCGGGGCGCATAGGCGCGGCAGGGCCCCTGCAGGGCGGGCAGGCTGCACAGGGCCAGCGGGCCGCTCATGCAGGCCTGCACGCAGGCCTCGTAGGTGTCGAAGTGGTTGCGGTGCCGCAGGCAGCGGCCCGAAGTGAACGTGAGGCAGTTGTTGGCCTGCGCATCGAAGTGCCACCGGGTCTGCTCCTCGCCGCAGTCCTCGGCGTCAGGCGGCTGCAGACACTCGGCCGCCGGGAAGGCCGTGCCATTGGGGCCGCTCTCCACGCTGGCCGGGACCTGCCCGGCCCTGACCACGGACAGCGGGAAGTCGGCGCGCAGGACGCCGGCGGCGTTGCGCGCCGTGCAGGTGTAGATGCCCGCGTCCTGCGGCTGGGCGTTGTAGATGACCAGCTGGGCGATGTTGGTGACCACCACGTTGCCCCGCACGTGGTTGGGCCGCAGGACCACGTTCTCCCGGTCCTCCAGCTGCTTCTCCCAGGTGACCTCGGGCCGCGGCCGGCCCACCACGTCGCACAGGAAGCTCACCGTCTCGCCCACGGTCACCGACTGGTGGGCCGGGTGCTTGAGCAGGGCCGGAGCGGCCAGGTCCAGCCCGGGCGTCTCCGGGGAGGTGGTGGTGGGGCGCACGGTGGTCTCCGGCGGCGGGGGGCTGGTGTGGGGCCAGGTGAAGTGGTAACGGCAGGTGACCACGGCCAGCGTGATGCCCTTGGAGCAGGCCTCGGCGTCCATGTAGCAGCGGTTGTAGTAGGTGAGGCCGTCAGAGGCGCAGGTGAAGCTGGGCTCCTTCTCGCAGCGCTCCTTGCACTTGCACACGGCCTGCCCGTCCCAGATGTCGCACTCGGAGCCCTGCTGCAGGCACGTGAAATGGTCGCACGTGGCCTCCGTGGGCATGCCCACCGGGACCTTCCGCCCCTTCACATCCAGGTAGCGGGCCGCCACGCAGCTCCGGGTCCCGCACACGTTGGGGCAGCACTTCTCGTGGGTCTCACACTCCTGGGGAGAGCCGGAGCGAGAGGCCTTGAGCCACGTGGAGGAGGAAGAGACACCCGCTCCCACGCTCCCACCGCATGTTCCGGGGAGGGGCCTTGGGGTGGGGTGAGGGTGGGGGTGGGGAGGTTCACAGGTGAGAAGAACTAATGATCACTCAGCACCCTCATTTTTTTTTTTTTGCTTTGTTTTGTTTTGCCTTTGGGGTCACACCCAGCGATGCTCAGGGGTTACTCCTGGCTCTGCACTCAGGAATTATTCCTGGCGGTGCTCGGGGATTGAACCCGGGTCAGTTGCGTGCAAGGCAAACACCCTACCCGCTATGCTATCGCTCCAGCCCCAACCCTCCCTTCTTTTGGAGGGGAAGTCGCACCCCACGGTGCTCGGGGCTACTGCTAACTCAGGGCTGGGGGACCAGGACTCGAACCCAGGCCTCCCACGTGCAGAGCAGGTGCTTGGCTGCTGGATTCTATCCACCCGCGGCTCCCCTCAGAGCATTCGGGCCTGTGTCATCTCCTTCCATGCTCATCGCCGACCTCGGAGACACGTGCCTGTCCCCTCCACTTCAGAGGGATACTAACAGAGGTCCAGGGAGATGGGGCTTGAGGGATCAGGCTGTGTGGCTCTCAGAGGGGAGGGAGGGACCCTGCACACAGGCAGCCGCAGGCCAGGGGCAGCATTGAGTCTTTCCTTCCACTTCACCTGGAAACGAGGCTTAGCTTGGAACCAGTGCGCTGACTCCAGACCTTTGTGTCTTTTTTTTCCCCCTTTGGAGGGAGCTGGCCCAGGATGAATTAAAGGGGTCAGCCCAGTGCTAAGAGGGATGTTGGGGCCCCCTGGGGCAGAGGTTCAAGGCTGGCCACGCTGTCCGGGAGAACAGCACTGAGGGTTCAGAGAGGCCAAAGCCCAAAGCAGGGTCTGGCCTTCACCCCACTCCCAGCCCAAGGAAGTATCCCTAGGCCTAACCTGGGGGGCGCTCCCCAGGGAAGCCCCCAGAAAAACAAGCCCCCTGTGTGGCCTAGGTCGGGCGGGCTGAGCTGCCTGGAGCCAGCAGGGGTTTCCGGGGTCTCGTGGAGTCTCGGCATTAGCTTAATTCCTCGAAATGAGCACCGCTGTCTGGAGCCGACACATTCACGAGAGCCCATGGTGGCGCTGCTAATCCCCTCCTGGTCGCGGTGTGGACGGCTCCCCGCCAGGGCGCTCCCGACCGCTCCTCCAGCCACGGACATTCCACATCAGCTCAGGGGGAGCCCGGCCCCCGCGGCTGCTCGCTTGTTGACTGTTTTCCCCTCTCGGCTCAGAATGGGGACTTTGTTTTGCAGCCTCTGCTTGACATCGGCTGCCAGGCCGCTGCGGGGTGGGAGGGGGCCGCTTTGGGATCGGGAGGGGAGGATCTCAGAGCAGCGGTGGGGGAGGGGGCGGGGGGAGCGCCTGAGGGTCCTGCGGTTCCATAAGAGACTCTGACCCAGAAACCGGCTTCCGATGTGACAGGATGGTCCCTTTGGGACCAGGGCGGGCATATTTCTGGACGCAGAACACCTCAGGGCATCCAAGGAGTTGCAGAAGGACCCAGACTATACCCAGAGGCTGTCTCCAGGCTCTCACTACCCTCAAGCCCCCCATGATGGACCAGGTCAGCCTGCAACCCTGAACAGATCCTGCAGCTATGTGTGTGTTGGGGGGGGGGCTTGTCTGAGAGGGTGTTGCAATCTCCCCCTCCCCCCTAATCCTGTCCCCCACATGGCTGACAGGAGGCTCCTGGTCTGCTTCTCTCTCGAACTGCCCCATCCCCTGCCATGGAGTATGCAGGTTTGGCAGAAGGAATGGCTGGGTTCCCCTGTCTCCTGAGGTAACCCCCAACAAGCAGAACCTCCGTCCACACAAACACAGGGGTCAGTGGACCCCTCAGCACTGAGATGAGGAGCCGGGATAGCAGGGGACACCCAAGCCCACTGCCCGCTGTTGCAGGGCATCACCAGGAGGGAGGGCAGGAGGAAGGCCAGGGCAGCCGGGCAGCTGGCAACAAAGTCCGCCCTCCCATCACCCGCAGACCCACGCTGAGCTCCTCCCATCTGCCCATCTACTGGGCCTGCTCGGGGGCGCCGGGCGCCAGCCCCGGGGACCTCAGCTTTAGCATGAGCCCCACGTGGCTCCACGATGGACAAGTGACCATCCTCCCCAGGGGAACAGCCAGGCCGGTACTGGCCAGTCAGCCGCAGCCACGTGGAATTCAGACGCGGCACCTGCCCTCCTGCATGGCCCGCCTCAACCCCACTGCCCTTCACCACCCAGGGTCCTACCTGTGCGCCCCCCACCCCTCCTTCACTGCCCACCACTCATGCCATCCAGCTCCGGCCTCCAGCCCCCCGACTCACCTGGTCGGTCTCACACTCCCGTTTGCAGGTGCTCTGGGCGTCCACCCAGAGGTTGGGGTTCATGTCGTTGGGGCAGATGCCAGCGTGGGAGTAGCGGATGGGTGGCAGCGCCAGGCCCTGCGGGGGCGCCCCCAGCAGCAGGAGGAGCACGGCCACCTGACCCCAGCGGGACCAGAGCCCCAGGCCCCCGGGGCCCCTCATGGTGTGGGCGCTGGCCGCTGGAGACCTCCCCTGCAATGAGGCCGGGGGCTGGGTCCCACCAGGGTCTTCTCAGGGGGTGCTGCAGGCACCTGGTCCCCAACCCACCAGCCCCGCTGGCTTCCTCTCTGCAGCTTTGGCCGCAGCTGCCTGGGCGTGCGGCCTCCACCAGCAAGTCAGCGGAGCCCGCTGGGCCGGCCCAAGTGAGCGAGCGGCTCCAGATGAAAGGGAAGAGTCTCCACCAGGGAACTCCCTCTCCGGGTCGCAGGAGAGGGGCCGCTGCGGGGGCGCCACCCGAGTGGGAGCTCTCGCCAACCTGCCTGCCGCCTGTCACCACTGGCGGCGGCGGCTTCTCTGGTCGTCCCACCGCCCCGGCCACTGACTAGTTGCAGAGGAAGCAGAGCTGGAGGCAGTGGGGGCTGTATGTCGCTCGGTGGGGACACCTGCTTGTTCTGGCCTCCAGGAGGCCGTTTAACCCCTTCAGGGGCCAGAGAGGGCCTGGAGGGGGTGGGGGCAGCGGGTTGCAGAACACGCCAGCTCCCTGCAAAGGAGAGTTTGAGCCGCCCCCCTCCTCCTCCTTCTCCTCCTCCTCCACCTCCTCCTCCTCCTCCTCCTCCTCCTCCTCCTCCTCCTCCTCCTTCTCCTCCCCCCCTCCTCCACCTCCTGGTCCTCATCCTCCTCAGGCCGCCCCCTCCTCCCTTGGGCCACCTCCGAAGAACACACAATCGCTTGTTACGGGGAGGGACCCGCCGCGGGTTAGAAAGCGGCCACACTGGAGAGCAAATGACGTGGAAAAACAACAAGTTCCTGGTCACTGCTGGGCCGGGCCTGAGCCAAGCTGTGAGGTGTAAGCTGACTCCTGCTCAGGCACCTTTTGGGGTGATCCCCGGGACATGGCGCCTTTGGGAGTGCTCCCCAGGATGTCGACACCTTTAGGGGGCCCGCAGGGACAGCAGCTCCCCTTCTCCGTTCTGGGCGGTTCTCAAGTTCCAAGTTGGATGAACGTCACCGCCCCGGAATCAACCCTGACACTCACACCAGACGCACTCAGGAGCCGTGGTGACGCAGGCCTCTTCCTCGCGCCTCAGAGACCCTCAGCGACTCCAAGCAAACCTGAATCTTCTAGGGGTGGGTCAGGGTGGCGGCCATGTGCATGGCTGGGGTGCTTCACCTGCTGCACCCCCACCCCACCACACACCCTCAGAGCAGACGCGCCACCTGATGCTGGCCAACGTCCCCTGGGTGCCTCCCTCCTACCCGGGCAGCCTCTCAGGAAACCCTCCACACAGCTGGTCCCCAGCCTCCTCTCAGCTTTCCAAGAGAAGCAGAGAGAGGCTAAGCACCCGCCCACGGTGTGACAGGGACCTGGGAATGGCGCCCCCGACTCCCCAGTCAGCACCACAGTCAAGGCACAGCCAGATGCTGGTTTTCACAGGCCGGGCAAGGTGTCCCTGGGACACCAGAGAACCTTGCGAGGGGCAGGCCAAGAGCTGGGGCCAGCATGGCTGGGAACATGACCGGGTATGACAGGAAGGATGATGAGGCTCAGGGCCCCTCCTTCAGAAGAGGTCATGGAAAAGGCAGAGTACTTTCACTGGAGCCCCAAGACTTGAGAGGAGCATGAGAGCCCCAGAGAGTGGGACCTTCTCCTGACCAGACCACAAAGAGTATGGGAGCAGTGACAGAGCTATTCTATGCCAGTGACTGTAGAGAGACAACCAGGGCGGGAGGGGAGAACCCAGCAGCGAGCCCTGCCCAGTCCTCTCCTCAGTCTTCTGTGCTGTCAAGCTGGAACTCGCCTCCTCTACCCAGGACACAGTGGAAGGAGCCTGTGGCACCTACAGACCCTGTCCCTCAGGTCCTGTCCCCTTAGACCCTGTCCCCTCAGACCCTCTCCTCTCAGACCCTGTCTCCTTAGACACTGTCTCCTCAGACCCTGTCCCCTCAGATCCTGTCCCCTCAAACATGTCCCTTCAGACCTGTCCCCTCAGACACCGTCTCCTCAGAACCTGTCCCCTTAGACCATGTCCCTTCAGATACTGTCCCCTCAGACCCTATCCCCTTAAACCATGTCCCCTCAAACACTATTTTCTCAGATCCTATCCCCTCAGAACTGTCCCCTCAGACACTGTCCCCTCAGACACTGTCCCCTCAGACAGTGTCCTCTCAGACCTGTCCCCTCAGACTCTGTCCCCTCAGACACTGTCCCCTCAGACCCTGTCCCCTTAAACTATGCCCCCTCAAACACTGTTTTCTCAGACCCTGTCCCCTCAGAATGGTCCCCCTCAGACACTGTCTCCTCAGACTCTGTCCCCTCAGACCTGTCCTCTTGGACCCTGTCCCGTCAGACCCTGTCCCCTCAACCCTGTCTCCTCAGTCCCTGTCTCCTCAGACCCTGTCCCCTCAGACTTGTCACCTCAGACACTGTCTCCTCAGAACCTGTCCCCTTAGACCCTGTTCCTTCAGACACTGTCCCATCAGACCATGTCCCCTTAAACCATGTCTCCTCAAACCCTGTTTTCTCAGACCCTGTCCCCTCAAAACGGTCCCCTCAGACATTGTCTCCTCAGACTCTGTCCCCTCAGACCTGTCCCCTCAGACCTGTCTTCTCGAACCCTGTCCCCTCAGACCCTGTCCCCATAGACACTGTCCCCACAGACCCTGTCCCCACAGATGCTATTCCCTCAGGCCTGTCCCCTCAAACCCTGTCCTCACAGACCTTATTGTCTCAGACACTATCCCCTCAGACCCTGTCCCCACACTGCACACTTCTCCCTTGGCCTGCAGGGTCTCCATTCCCTTCTTTGAGCCAATACCCTCCCCACAACCAACCCTGCACAGGCCATTTCTGTTTTTGTCACAGAGCTAATGAAGGTGTTGGTTCCTAATCCCCTCCTTTATTGGAATCACCTTTCCTCTCAGGCTGGCCCACATCATGGAGGCAGGTAGCAGGCAATGCTATAATTCCATTGTCCTCAGCTGGGCGGTCCCGTAGATGCTACACTGGGAAGTGGACTGCGACACCATTCTGAGCCGGGCTTAGAGAAAGTGTCTCCAGGCCCTTATGGGCCAGAGCGATGGCACAGTGGGTAGGATGCTTTCCTTGCAAATGGCTGGTCCGGGTTTGATCCCCAGCATCCCATATTGTCCCCAGAGCCCACCAAGAGTAATTCCTGAGCACAGAGCCAGGGGTAACCCCTGTGTATCGATGGGTGTATTGCTGGGTGTGGCACAAAAGCAAACAAAAACCCAGAACAAAACCCAAAAGAGTGCCCCAGGCTCCAAGTGAGGACCAGGATTGAGAGAGGCCCAGTGGGTGCCCCCGGGAAGGACCTAGCAGGGCGGCAGGGACCACGGCAGGTGGGTGTTTGTCCTGAGCTGCTCCTGGGCTGGATGGAGCCAGGCCTCTGCCCAGGGCAGGGAGGAAGGGCAGGAGGACACTGACTCTCCCTCTGCTTTTCCCAGCCCCCCACACAGCTCAGAATAATAAATAACATCTGACCCGGGCTCCGAGCCACGCGCGCTCCCACCCTCCGCCTGCTGACCCTCATGCCCGCGGTGGGGAGCCTGAGCTGGTGCTGGGAGGCCATGTCCATCCTGGAGAGGTTTGGCCGGGCCTCCAGGGGTCCCCTCCCCATCTGTCCAGAGCTCTTTACACAAACCTACGGAGCCCCCAGGCCCCTTCAATGGGCCCTCCAGGCTTGTTTATGAGCTGAGCTAGGAGCGCTTTGAAGTGTCCCCCAGGCCGCCCCGTCCCTGACTGTCCCCCTCTGGGGGGTGGTGTGGGCTCCACCCTCAGCCACCACCACTGTTCAGCCCACGGTTCACCAGGCCACACCCCACCCACCCCCACTCCCAGCACAGGGCCCCAGAGATGTGTCTGACAGGGGAGGACTCCTTCCCCAGGACTCTGGGCTCCTCTCAGTCAGGAAGAGGCTCTGTCTGACCTCAGGTCAGGAACCCCTGACCTTCCAAGCTGCCTGAGGGCAAGGTCCCGCACACCATCACCCCTCCAGGGCACATTCAAAGCCTAGTCAAGGTTAACCCAAGGGAAGTCACCCAATGGTGAACTCTGAGTGACCCTTGATCTCAGGGTCATACTTAGCACGACAGTCCCGAGCCTCTGGGGCCTTGGCAGGACTCACAGCTGACTCTATTTCCTCAAGTGTACAAATCCCCCAACTCCCCGCTCCTGCCAGGGTCTAGTCCTGGACTCATCAGAAAACAAGCAAGCAGCGGCTGGAGACATAGCACAGCGGGGAGGGCGTAGCAGGCTCAGGTTTGATCCCTAATATCCCATAGGGTCCCCCGAGCACCGCCAGAGTGATCCCTGAGCACTGCCAGGTGTGACCCAAAACCAAAAACAAAACCAATGAGCAAACACCTTTTCAAATATATTTTTTTTAATAAAAGAAGACAAAAGAGGGGCTGGAGCAATAGCTCAGCATGTAGGGTGTTTGTCTTGCACGCGGCCGATCGGGTTTGATTCCCAGCATCCCATATGGTCCTCCAAGCACCGCCAGGAGTGATTCCTGAGTGCAGAGCCAGAGTGGGAGTAACCCCTGAGCATTGGCTGGTGTGACCCAAAAAGAAAAGAAAAGAAAAGAAGAAGAAGAAGAAGAAGAAGAAGAAGAAGAAGAAGAAGAAGAAGAAGAAGAAGAAGAAGAAGAAGAAGAAGACAAAAGAAATAAAGAAATCAAGGAGACAAAGTCAGGAAGCCAGAGCCTGCATTGATTGCCTCCTGAAGTTCTCACAAGGGAGGGGAGATGCCAGGGTGGTGGTACACACTTACAGATACGGAGCTGGAGCTGCGAAAAGGAGGTGAGAGGGAAGGCGAAGAGGGGCTGAGCTGTGTCTTCTGCTTCGCCCAAGTCAAGCCTGGTCATGCTGAGGTGGTCAGACTTTCCCCAAAGAGACAGGGAGCATCCCTTGGGGCTGAAGAGATAGCACAGTGGGTAGGGCATTTGCCTTGCACGCAGCCAACCCGGGTTCGATTCCCAGCATCCCATATGGTCCCCTGAGTACTGCC